TGTGTACAGTATTAACTGTTACGTTTAAACTTAGTGTGTGTGTGTATTTATTATTTATATATATATATATATATATATTAGTTTTTTGTCTGGTGAAAAAAAATTTCCCTGGAACCTAACCCCCCCCCACATCCCCAATGGGGAAATTGGATTTGCTTAACATCGTTTAGCTTTAAGTCGCATTTTTCAGGAACATAACTACAACGTTAAGCGAAGAGTTACTGTATAGGAAAATATCTGTTTGAATTATGAAAAAGGAAGATAGATTGAGTTTTTTGAATTTATAGATTCTCCTGCAGCGTTGAAAACCCAAACAGCACAATGTTAGTGTATCAGAAACAGACAAATGGAGTTTCACTGTTCGAGCAAGCAATAAATAAAAAACACAAGTGGTGACCAGTACATTACATTTGGAACTTGTTTGAATAATCTTAAATTTTAGCAATAAAATAAGTAATATTGTAAGGCTATGATTTTATTTCAATAAAATTAAGAATTAAAGAATCATATTCTCCAATAAAACTTTTTAATAAATCCAAGTATCTGATAAAACTTAAACCAGAAAACCAAATGCATTAAGATGCTATAATATTCTTGTTTAGATAAGTAAATCTGTACTAACTTTATAACAATTACAAATCCACATAAAGCAACATTTAAAGTCAAATTCCACGAAGTACTGATAACCTCAATTCTCTTTGATTTCTGGAGTTACTAATTTATCACATTTTTGATACTTTTGGTTCCTATTTAGCTTCTTTCAACCCCTGCCGTTACTGACTTCAGTGGGAACTGAGGGCATTCAGGTAAGAGACTGATATTGGCACATGGCAAAGGATGCCCACAACACCATTTGGATCAGTAACCTTTTCGAGCTCCGATTTCAGACTTTTAAGAACCAAAACTAAAAGAAAGACACCTGAGCTGACATCACAGATTGACATCCAACCTAAATATTTACATTCAAGGTATTTTAGAGTGAAGAGAAAGCAAAGAAAGTATCTTAAATGACAAATCAAAAGATTTAAAAAAAACGTAATTGGAACTGTTTAAATTCAGTAAATCCATTTTTTTAAATACTTCTATGCTGATACGCTGAATGCCAGGTTTCAGAAACCAACACGATCAAGCAATACAGTTAAGGCATACCTTCCTTAATTAAAGCAAGAGCATAAGAAAAAAATGCCATAAACAATTAGTTGCCTGTATTTTCCTCCCTCCCTTACTTTAAAGCAAAAGAAAATCATGCAAATACTTATCAAAAACATAAGAGGGCATTGTAAGGAATGTACAGGTGGGGGAGACAAGTAGTAGCATTTCTCCATATCCATGGAAGTCCCACACACATTTGGGATTTCATGGATTTTGGAGAACCATATTCCACTCCTCCTCACCTTCCCCAATGAAAAACTGCATATTATATGCTATTCAATAATAATGCTGAGTTGGTATTTATTTATTCTCATCTCCCTCTGCAGGAACCCTCTGTGCTCCAAAAGCAAGATGTCCCTGATGCCTGTGAATCAGAGGCTTTACCCTATCCCTACATATTCCTCAGTGGGTCTCTTCCCAAAATCCTACAGTGGCCCTACTACTGCTAGCTCCTTTATCAATTCTGCTAGTCCTTTCCATGCTTTTCTGTTGTTACTTCTTTTATGATGTCCTCTTATCCCCTCCATAACCCCATACATATCCTTCTAGCCTGCCACCACAGAACCAGCACTTTCAAAACCTATTTTTATACTGTGATGAACACAGTTTAAAATATAGTGTGTCTCAATTTCTTTGTTACATTTTTCTCAACATGTTTTAAAAAACATTATGGAAGATTAGGAAAAGCTTATATACATAAGTATGAGAATGTATTTAACAAGTTGAACAGCAAAAGCTCCTTCATGACCACTGACAACATTTAACACAAACTACTGACCAATATACCATAGATGCTCTGAAGAAATTCACTAATTCCATATTGTTCCAGCTACCACAAATATCCATCAAATCTACACGCTAAAAATCATTATGAAATTTAAGTTGAAATAACTTGTAACTGCTAGCTACAAACAAGTAACTACTGTTTTTAAATAAGTTGTTTACAGTTTCTTTAAAAGCAAAATATCCAGGTTGCTGGTCCACATTAGTTAAATGGCTAACAGTTTCAGTTTTAAACCTTGAAAAGAAGCATAACAGCAACATTATGTTTGTTTTACATTTACTAGGCACATCTGAACAGCTATTATAAATCTGCAGTTTGACAGCATTTTTTAAATGCTTCACTCCATCACAGAGTGAGTTTTTATAATTACAACCTGCAAAGACTTATTATATTCAAATTCTTCTACCACAAGCTATTGGCATAGGCTATTACAGAAATGCTCAACTTTATGAGCATAGCCCCACTGAAATCGACAGTATTATTCTTGTATGTAAAGTTAACCATGCTCATAAGTTTCAGAAGGACTGGGACCTACAGCTGGTCTAATCAATTTACAGGTTTGACAGAACAATGTTGCTTTCTGAATTGACAATATTATGAAAACACATAGGGCAAAGTTTTCCTCTCAGGTTGTCTAGAAATGTAGACCCATATTAAAACAACTATTAGTGGATAAATTGCTTATGCAGACAAGGCTTAGGCCTTTTGGCCACTGTTTCATGAAAACCTACAGGTCACATGTTGCAAAAAATGCCATCCACAATAGCAGCTTAACACCAATGCACCTACACATGAGCTGTATTACAGCTACTAACTTTTCTACTGCAGATGCACTGTCAGAGTGAAAACAACTTACAGGGAGGGCAGAGTATAAAAAAATCCAATCTATTTTATGGATCTAGCAACACAATGCTGCCCTATAAATGATATAAATGCTCCTATGACAACATTCTGTTGCACAAGTTGCATGGAGTCAAGAGATAATGCCTCAGAGCAGACACCTGTCAATGAATTTGCCATCCCAGGTAGGAAAAGGAGGCAAATACCATTCTGAGAGTCTCACACACACACAGCCAGGGCCCGTACTGAAAGCAAATTTAAGCTTTCTGAGCTTAGGGTATTGCTCCAGCCAATCAGCCAGGTAGCGATCATCCTCCTCCCCCACCACATGTGTGGGCCACAGGTGAGGATGTGGGGGGATATTCGGAAGTTGTGGGGTTGTGATGCAGCAGCTCTGAGCCTTTGTGTGTGTGAAGCAGGATTGCACAGAGTACAGCGCCCCCGTCTCCTGCCGGCCAGGCTGGCTCCGGCAGGCTCTCTCCGCTCGCTCCTCCCCTCACTGCCTCCTGCTCTCCCTGCACAACATCCATGACGTACCTTTATTTCTAGCACAGTGACTCTGGGGCTCTCCCATTAGGACAATTGTTGTTATTTACCCTCACCCCGGGACCCCCCCAGTGGGGGGCTTGCCCCGGGGCAGCAGCCTCACCTCCCCCTCTCACTGTCACTGGACGGGGGGGGGTCAAAGCTCCCTGAAGTTTTTTTTTCTTTTCTTTTTTTTTTTAAGTTGTAAAAAAAATTTTTTTGCGGGAAATTCAATTTTTATTGGGCTGCTCGGAAAGTTTCCCCGCCGCCTCGCGCCGGCCGGCCGCTCGGCTCACCAGGTTCTCGTAGCTCCGTGGATGCTCCTTGCCCGTCCAGTCCGTGCGCTTGGGCAGCAGCTAGGGAAGAAAAAGCACCTTTCAGTCACTCACGGCCGCCCCCTCCCCGAAAAGCCCCCGGCGCCCGGGCCGGGGAGAGGCCGCAGGCGGGGCGAGCGCGGGGCGTGCGGCGCCGCTTACCTCCTTCTCCGCCACTTCTCGGATCAGGACCTGCAGCAACAACAAAAGGGGGAACGGCTGTGAGTGCGCCGCGAACACCCCGCCCTGCCCGGCCCCCCAGGCCCCGGCGGCGCCATCCCTACCTGAGCCGCTTGCTGGCAGGGTCCGTCCTCCAGAAAGCGGGCGATGAGGAAGTAGAGCTCTGCGGGGAGAGAGAGGCGGTGAGCGGCGGGCTGGGCACCAGCCATTCCGGCTCCGCGGCGCCCAACAGCCGGAGCCCTCCACTTACCCGCTCGCAGCTCCGCGCTGTGCCTGCCGCCGTCCCCGGACATGGCGAGCCGCGCTCGGGCCGCGCTCCCCGGCGGCGGCGGGGCCCTGCGAACGCGTCCGCCCGCCCGGTAGCTGTCACTGTTCGTTCAGCAGGAAGAGTCTCGGCTCCACCATTCAACCCGCGGCCGGGAGGAGGAGGAAACAACAACTCGCAGGCAGCAGCAGCCCGCCGCCAACGCCGCTGCCGCCACCGCCGACCCACCGCGAGCGAGCGCGATCCCTCCGCCCGGGGAAAGAGTCCCTGCCCCCTCCTCGGCCCCTCGCGCCGCGCGCGCGCCCCCTGCCCCGACACCCGCTCCCCAGCGGCCTGCTCCGCGGCCCCCGCCGCTGACACGCCCAGAGAGGCGGGAGCGCGGCGCAGGTACGAGCAGGCCAGCCGGCTGGCGGAGAAGATGTCGGAGCGGCAGAGGCGGGGTGGGCGGGGAGCTTGGCTGAAAGGCGCTTTCTCTGTGAGGGCTGGGAGGAGGAGGGGAGGCCGCAGCGGAGGGATACGACGTACGCGGGGGGAGGGGGGCGGCTGCTCGCAGCGGGCTGGGCTGGAAGTTACCAGTATCAGGGTAGTCGGCAAATGAAGCAAAAATGCCCCGCGGGAGCCCCGGCCGCGTTAGGCGAGGCGGGCTCGGCAGCCCCCCGGGGCCGCGGAGCGCCTCTGTCCCGACTCTCTCACGGGGGCGAAGGCTGCGGATGTCGCGTCTGTCTGTAAGTTGCCGCGCCCGGCGCGCCTGTGTGTATGTGCCAGGGGCAGTGCCAGCCCGGCGTGACCCTGTGCGAGGTCCTGCTCGGGGCTGGCTCGTCTCGCTTTTTGGGAAACAATAATGCCCCGGTCTGTAAAGCTGAGCAAACCCCTGTGCAGCTTTCGTTGGTGCTGCCTCGCTGGGAGCCAGGGGAAAGGATCTTAAAAAGTGCTTTGCTCGTAGATCTGTTTTTTGTTGTTTTTTTTTTTTACTTTAACGCGCATTTTAGGAGTTTTTACTGCTGCCGGCGCATCATAGACACTGGATGATCAATGAATCTTCAGGCTTCTAGGAATATTTGCAAGAGGAGGAGGAATACCGTGAACATGAGGACGTGCGAAAGATGGTGATGCTTGCAACCTATGGCTGAACTGGAGGTAATTTATGGGTGGATCAATAACATGCTAAGGTTCTTGAAAGACTATTAAACAGTAGCAAGCGTGATTTGCGATTAAATAATTTAAATTGTGTATTTATCTTGCATTAACTTTAAGTAATGATTATACCTCAGATCAGAAGATTTGTTCATCGTTACTTACTGCTTAGAGTCGGGCACAAAAACAAAGCTAATATCCGGCCTTGGTCAAACTGATCTCTATAAAATACTGTTTTCTCTATCAGATTTAAATAAATGATAAATAATGATCGGCCTTTATGATCTGTCATGCATCTGTGCTTTTCAGATCGAGTTTGGGCCTTGTAAAAATTAATACAGTTGTAGACAATGAAAATGACATTCAGCAGCAATGGATGTAAACAAGGAAAATTGTCATTTATTAAACACACTGATTAATGTTACCCCTCAGAAAGCACATTTAGAATTAAAAGGATATAAAAATTAGACAGGAAAAAAGTCTTTTGTAATCAGAGAACTTGGAGCTTTCAACGGGTGAAAGCTTTTAAAAATTTCAAATTAAACCATATTTATGTGAAACTGACACAAGGGGCTTTAGAGGTGGAGTTTTATATGTCAGTCTCCAAGGCCCACAAGCCAAACGTTTGGAAGCCTAGAATCTTGCCTAGCCCCTGCTGCTTTGTGCTTAATGTGGTGAAAAGGCTTGCTGCAACCACCCTTTAGCTTTATTATATGAATATCTGTGAGAGAAAGGAAGTTAATATGTCTGTGAAAATATATATAGAAATACTTAAATGGGCAACTGAGTATCTATTCTACTTATTATTATTGCTTATGTGGGATTTTCATGTCCTAAAAGTACTAAAATTGTAACCTGTATATTACTGTAAAGTATAATTATGAAGTAAGCTAATAATTCTTTATTATATATTTACTTCTCTACATATTGAAAATAAAGGTATTGTAACAAGTCTGATCAGTTTTTCTGTAACTCCGGTCATCTGTTTTCTTCCAAATATCTGTATCTCCCTTTTACCATTTTCCTAGGACAGTAACTGGCCTACATTTTAACCTCTGTCTCTTAATCAGCGCTTCAAATAATTGTCATGATGGTGTAATCACACTTATTATCAAATAAATATTTTTTTAATGATTTGAGTTTTCTTTTTTAGAAATGCAAAATATATATTGTAATTCTAATGGTAAGTGGTGTTAAGAACGAAGGATTACATGAGTATTATGATTAACATTTTCTAATTATTCCAGGATGTCTGTATATAGTGAAGTATACCTTGTGTATGATATTGCTGTACCTATATGTCAGGAACCTTAATACTTGGATTCTGAGAGAGTTTTTATGATGATGGAAGGAAAACGATGTTCCTGTTTTTGACAACTTATGTAATAACTTTTCTGATGCAGTTCAGAGAACCAAAATTTTCTTATTGCTATTATCAAAATTCCAAGGATTCAATCTGATAAACACAAGATCAATTTGTGCTATTGCATTTTAAAATTCTTACTGCAGATTCAGTAAGATAAGGGGGGGGGAAGGGATAGTTGGGTTGGCTTATTTTTTTATTTAAACACATGTAAATCACACTTCATGAGAAGATTTGGAATTATTTCTGTTTGCTGATGCATGTTGGAATGAGTTTTAAGAAATCCTGCTGTGGTAATAAACATTCCATTAACTTATTTTCAAAGATAATTTTGCAGTGCATTCTCCTGAAACTCACTGAGAATTTTTTTTATTTTCTATGCAGGAAAAAAAATTCCTATATCTGTATTTTCACACTGTGGTTTACTTGCAAAATAAAAAGGACTATTTCAAAGTATGTTCTTGTCCACTTACATTATCCTTGAGCAAAAATTATTTTAGTTCTGCTATGTCATTCAGATTCTGTGCTTCTCTGGGTTTTTTTCTCTTTTGAGGTCTGAATTAAAAAAAATCATGGAATGATTTTTGCCTTTTCAGATTGAGATTGTTATTAAAGTAAAATAATTTCACAATTTGATTACTTTAATATGATTAGTAAAGTGATGGATTTAAACATGTCAAAGCTTGTTATACCCACATCCTATATCTTTTTGAAGATGTAAAGTGTAGCTAGTAGTACCCATTTTTCTTATTTTTTTTTTTAATTACTGTTTTCATCAAGAAAATAGTAGTATAAAAGCAGGAGTAAAGTTTATATATGTTACACTATAATTTTGTTAATTGCAAAATCCATACATCAGTTATGGTCTGACTCCTTGAGCCTCAATTTTTGTGTGTCCAAGTTCACATACTAGTGTAACTTTCAAAGGGTGGATGCTCAACACTTTCTGAAAATTATTCTCGTAATGTGGGTACCCAAACTCACTAGTCACTTTGAAAATATTGACATATTTTAGGACCTCTTGTTCATGTCAGCATTTTTTTACGTATGTCTTTATGTGATGCAATTTCTGCATGAGTTCTAGCTATATGATGTAGCTGAATTTGTTTTTACTCCCCTCCACACTTCATAGCTGTAAACTCTCATTCAGGTTTAACTTAATTTCCTGCTATCCTTAGTTGCATTGTCAAACATTTTGGTGGCTACAGTTTATTATATTTTTGTATCAAAGTGATTTTTATTTTTGTGACATCTAATCCGCAGCCTTATTTTTCTGTGATAAACATTTTCCTTATAGATGGGGTTCATAAATTAAGAAATGACACATGAAATTGTCTCAATTTTTTTTTATAGAACAATGATTTTAAGCACCAAACTCTGCTTGCTGGGAGACATTAACTTGTCTTAAGCTTCCTAGATTTGCCGTCTTTTTGAGCAGAAGCTTCATTCATTAATTTCTTACTCCTGAAACAAACCATTATCTTATTTATTGTATTTTAACAATTCAAAAGAGTGAAATGTAGGTATGTTTTTTACAACACTAGTTTGAATAAATTCTACCTGACAAATGTTGTTCTAACAATATATGAAGTGATAAAATAATTTCATGTCAAAGTGCTAAAAGCCATTTGTTCACACTTTAGGTCATTAATAATTTATTTTTGCACTCTCTAAATTAGTAACTTAGTTGACCATTCAGGTATACATTTGTTCTCCAAGTCCCTGGCAGGTATGTGTTATGCCAATACCAGATTTTAAATACTTAACTATTTGAACACCTATTTATGTGCTCCACTTATATTCCTTTAATCATTCAACTCTCTCCCACCCAGGGCTGGCTCCAGGCACCAGCTGAGCAAACTGGTGCTTGGGGCGGCAGATTGTTGGAGCCACCTTTTTTGTTGTTGTTGTTGTTGTTGTTCTTGTTCCTCTCTGGCCGCCCCGTAGGGGGCGGCAGCGTGGAGAACCAGAGCACCCTGCAGGGCAGTCCTCTTCCTTCCCTCCCCACAGACCGGAGCAGAGCCCTCGCGGCAGGAGGCGGCGCAGCGGGAGGGGCTGCGTGGCAGCGCCCCTGCTGTAGGCCTGGCTGCCCCCTTCTCTCTCTCTCTCTCTCCGCCCGCCCCCTCCCCCAGCCGGTCCCCCTGCACCCGCGCTCCGGCTGCGCTGCTAGGTTTTTTTTTTTTTTTTGCTTGGGGCGGCCAAAAAGCCAGAGCCGGCCCTGCTCCCACCACATGCCTTTTTCTTCCCATTCATAACAACACTTGCTATAAGGAAGCATTTTATCACATCTTTCACTCTCTCTCCTCTCCCCTGCTGGTAGGAGTTAGCTCCTGCAGCTGGAGGCTTGCATTACACAAACCGCCAACAATATTGCCTAAAACTAGTTTAATAAACACAATATATAATGGGCTGAGTTTTGACAAATTTATTTCTACACATTATCTATTATTTCAGAGTAAAGTGAAGTCTAGAGCGATGAAAATTGATTAACCTGTAAAAATATAAAAAATATAAAAATTGCATCACTACTCAACCCATTATATCATATGTATATGATGAGTCGCAACGTTTTAGGTTTGACTCAAACTCAGCCAGTCACTTGGGGGACCTTCTTAGTTCATCTTTAGATTTACACATGAATTGTACCTATTACATTTTTGGCTTCACTATTAAATCTTTGCTCATATTCTCATTCATATAAACTTTCCTAGTCAAGAAAAATTAAGACTTGGAGCTATTTAATTTCCTCAGAATAAAGGACTAATGCTGTTTTATTTAAGCTTCGTGTCTGATTAATGTAATTTGTCCCCATCAGTTTCATAAAAGATCTTCAGTTTAGTTTACTGGATCAGCTTGATAGTAAGACTTTGTATGCTGAATACATTCCCTAATTGTCCAAAGAAATTTAAGCAAAAGATTTAACTGCTATACTTTATTGGTCGCTGCTGCACTATTCTTTGCAGACAAGATTGGATATCTGCCATATTCAATTTCACATCCATTTAATGCCACCAAGGTTATTTTACAACGTAATACAAATTTGTACATTTTAACCATTTAAAAGTTTTTTAATAGTGTTGCTTTGATAACTTATGTACACCATATATTCTAGAGCAGAGCTACTGTGTAATGAGAAGTGTAGTGGAAGAAAACCTGGTTACTAGATTGTTCTATAAGTTGTTACTTTTTTAAAAGGATTGCTTCTAGAAACCTTTTCCAAAGCATGTTCTGTTATAACTTCAAGTAAGCAAGTGACCCTTTTAATATAATATGTTAATGCAAGTTTTGGTGAGTGAAAAAAGATCTCAAACTAACATTTAATAAAAATATATTTTAATACTCTAAAGTGGCAATTTTTACTTGAAAGTTGATAGTTATTTTAAGATCAATGCCAAATTTAAATAGAACACCACATTTTAATATAGTATATTTATGCAGTTATAATGATTACTTATCCAGCCTGTTCTCCAAGCTCAAGTCCAGACTTGCATGTAATTAAGTTCAAGGGGCATTCCTGACTTGACATTTTACATTTGAGATTTACAATAACAATACTAGCTCTTTAAAAAAATGCATCTTTTTTAAAAAACACAACTTTAGGATCATTTGTTTCACTTTAGTGTTCTCAGACACAGCGTAACTTTTTCTAGTTCCTTTTATCTCTAAAGTGCTTTCAAATAGTTACATGAATGTCTACATAAGGATCGTTTAATCATTATTCATGTGCAACTATCTCAGGGTTGAAACAATTGTCAATCAGCACACAATACCAGTACTGCCAACTCCAAACATTAAATCATGAACAGGCCCCAAAAAATCATGAGATTTTGTAAAAATTGGGGTTCTTTATATTTGCATTCTTGTTTGAACCTTTAGCTTACACTTAAGTTACATTTTCAAGCTTTTATCCACACACATGAAGGCTAGAAGTTGGTTTGTTTGTTTGTTTTTAAATGTGCGGATCTCAGCTTTCAATCACTTATCTTCCAGAAATTGGGCTATACGTAAGACATTGCATAAATCAGCAATACAGCTACATAACAAATACAAGTCAAAGAGGAATTATTGTTTCAAAATGCAAGGAGATTTTACCCAAATTGAAATTTGTACAAGACATCAAGAGTGACATCCTTACTCTTATAAAAGGGCTGTGGGATTGTGGGATCCTTATTGATCAAATTCTCCAGAACTGTAATTTTATGTCTCAAATGAAAGATGGGCTCCTAAGCACCACAGTCACCACTAGCAGAATTCTGGGGTATTTCTTCAGTACAATAGAGAGAAGAGACCTGCCTAATGAATGCCAACAATATTTTGTACAATATCAGATGTTCCTCATTCAAATACTGACCAGGCCTGACTCTACTTATTATGCAAGATGCACCAGAAGAAAAAGTATGAGGCACTATGGCTGTAGGAAATATTTACTGGTCATTGCCAACACTGCAGAGGACTACTTGGATCTAAATCAGTGATATTCAGACTGAGGGCTCGTCTACACTAGGGGGAGGGGATCGATCTAAGATACCCAACTTCAGCTACGAGAATAGTGTAGCTGAAGTTGATGTATCTTAGATCGACTTACCTCCTGTCCTCACGGCGCGGGATTGATGGCCGCGGCTCCCCCATCGACTCCGCTTCCACCTCTCGCGTTGGTGGAGTTCCGGAGTCGACGGGGAGTGCGTTCGGAGATCGAGATCGGCGGGTAGTGAAGACGTACCCTGAGGCTCGGGATCTGCAAGTGGCTCTTTAATGTGTCTCCTGCTGCTCT